TCACACCTATTTTGATGATATTTTATTATCGATATTTCTTGATAAGTTCACTAATTATAATTTACTTGATTTTGTGACCGAGGCACAACATTGACTTGATGTGGAGATGGAGGAGAGTGCTCGAGGAACAACAATTTTAAGGCGATTCAATGTGGAAAACAAAATTGAAACATGTGCTACTTTGTGTAAGCAAAATAAAAAATTTTGATTTTCTAGAATATATATGCTCCAAGCAGGTACGATTGAATTCTTTAGTTTTGCTGAAAATACATGCAAGCATGTCTAGGAATCTATAAGGTTTATGTTGCTAGTTGATGATAGTGATTAATGTCATACTTCTTCTTGCATGATATAACAAATTCCCAACGGCTAAATGAAAAAAATGGAAAAAAAAAAAATTAATGCATTCTACATGCAATTTAACGTCTCCTATACATGCATTCATATATATATGAATGTGTGATTAATTTGGCTTAAAGACATAAATGACCATTCATAGGCAATTTGTTTGTCATTATGATTATTGATTTATATGCAATAGTGATTTATTACTTAATCATATTTATATGAGTGGTTATGGACCTTATGGTTATATTTATAAGAATTATTAGTTAGCCATTTGCTCTTAATGCATGCATATTAATGTGGGAGTTTTCCCATAATATTGAGTATTATGTTAGTAGCCATTTGAATTAAATGGGATCATGGTAGAGCATATATTTTAATATGAAATTATGGATATAAAAGCTCTACTAATTAGAAGTGTTTTTTTTTTTTTATTGTGTAATTTATGAGCTTTAATAAGCTCCATTAATATATAATTAATTGGTGAATATTATTTTTCAGTGAAAAAAAAGGGTAAATAAGTATGTGTATTTAATTGACCATGTTATTGAGTTATTTGGTGAAACAGGTGACAATTTTGAGAATTAGAGAGCCACCTGATTTGGTCCATCCAATTTTTTTTGGGTAAAAAATAGACATGAAATTTGGGTTAGTTTATTTTGGAAATGTAAGCTAATTTTTTGTTTAAGCTTGCATGACCAAGGACCCTTTTGTGGCGATGAAAAGTGAGATGAGCAAATATGCTCTTATAAAAATCTTGTGAGCAAAATGAGTTTCTTTATGAACTCAATTATTTGAGAAATGTGATAATCACATATTTGAGATGCTCCCAATGTGGAGGATTGTGATATCCCTATATATTATTATTGGTGATGAGACCAATGATGCCTAATTGAGATTTTGCATAGCATTCCTATTATACAATAAGGTGTAATGGTGCTTAAGAAAGTAAATGTGATATGCACTCCTATTATATAATAAGGTATAATGGTGCTTAACAAAATAAATGTGATATGCATTCCTATTATACAATTATGGTATAAGGGTGTATGATGAAAAAAATAATAATAAGGCACTTGAGAAAATGGGTATGTGATGGACATTCCTATTGTACAACAAGGTACAATGGTGTTTGAGTTAAAAATTCTTAAATACATGTTTTGACATGTATGGAAAGAAAAAGGTGGTTCACTAGCTCGATATCAAAAATTGTGGTACCATGAATTGAGAATTTGAGAAATATGAATGTGAATTTTATGAGCTAGCAGACAAGTGGGTTGATGTGAAAAGAGTGAGAATAAGAATGAGTTAAATCTCTTCGTTACCCACTATACCACCAACTAGGCCTTTGGCAAAAACAAAAGTTGGAGGAAAATCTATGATCATAGTCCAAGGTCTAGTGCTCATCGAGGGGAATGGGATTCAAGCCCAATCATGTAGAACTTCCTATGAGGATACCCAACCCGAATTCTGAGAATTGGGTTTTGAATGGGAAAAACGAATCATAGAGAAGTCGTTATTGAAATATGCATCAATATTTAATGAAAAAATTTACAGTCTCATTCCTAAGGTGAGGATGCATCTATCCCATAACGAATTGAGGGTTGAGTTATATACTCTTAATGAAATTTGTAGCTCATAGAGTGGGGTGTCTTAGTTATGGGAGCACTCTTGACAAATTTCACCTATGTGGGTGTCGAAGTGAGGCCGCTTCTATGAAAATTGGATGGGCAATTTTCTAGATCATCCATGAAAACCGGGATCATGTGCAAGGCCATAACGCGCCAGCTATGTGGCAAAACTCAACATTCGGATCATTATGTGTGTGATACGATTCTTGTATCTTCCAATAGAGTCATAGTTCAAGACTTAGTTCACTATTGACTTTGGATTAAGAATCGTTGACTTACTAAGTAAAGGTTCAAGGCTTAGCTACCTTTATTATGCATAATAATTCATCTTTGCCTAAAGAAAGGTTTATTTTTTATTAAAATAGTGGGGGAATTGTTGGAACTTAAGTATTTTAATAAAAAATAAAACAATATATTTTATAAATTAAATTTATTGTCCCATTAAGGACTTGGTCAAACTAGCCGTTGTAGGTTAATTGTCCTATTTAAGGGCACATTATTTCATAATAATTACCCAATTTATTTCTACTATTAACCTACAAATGAGAGTTACAAGACCATGAGTCCTATAAATAGGACATTTCTTTTGCTCAAAATAGTTGTTCCTTCACATTCTCCTATTTTTCTTACCTTGCTTTATCCT